TTTTTTTTTGTCGTTGTTTTCTGTATGTCTTTTGATTAACTTCTGTATTCTGTTTCTTTTGCTTCTTCAAATAAAAAACGCGTGGTGTATTAATAATCAGGAAAATAAAATTCTATGTTTACAGATAATTCATTTGATTTTTGTAATTTGAACAATGTCGAGTAAAGATCGTTACAATATATTTCCATCGCGAATGTAAGTTTTAGTTGTAATTATTCTATTTTCTTCATTTGACTTGCTTTTGTAGGGCGCAGACGACAATGAAAGCACGATTGAAAGGTGCTCAAACCGGCCATAATTTATTGAAGAAGAAAGCAGATGCATTAGCAATACGTTTTCGATCGATTTTGAAGAAAATTATTGATGTAAGAGATAAAAAATTTCTAAAATTAAAATCGAAGTTTTTTCAAATAAATTTTAGACTAAAACATTAATGGGTGATGTTATGAAATTAGCCGCTTTTTCATTAGCTGAAGCAAAATTTTCAATGAGTGGAGATTTTACACAAGTTGTAATTCAAAGTGTCAGCAAAGCACAAATTAAAATTCGAACAAAACGAGACAATGTTGCCGGTAAGTTAAAAACATCTATTTTATATTCACAGATAGGGGTGCAACGGTGGCAGTTATCGGCCTAAGACGAAAAACGGTTAAACGAAAACCGGCCCAATAGAAAGACCGATTAAACGAAAACCAGCCCAATAGAAAGACCAGTTAAACGAAAACCGTTGTAATAAAATCGATAACCGCCTTGAATCGGTAACCGTCATAGAATCGATTACTCATAGATGCATAACAGTAATACGATATAAGAACATGAATATTGATGCCTACATGTTGATATTCCTTATTCTTATTAACAATAAAGCAAACGATATTACTAGCTTCTCTAATTACTAATCAACATGTCAACATCGCTTTATAATTATATGAATTAAGAAAATTATCAAAAAATAAAAACGGTTGCCGACCTATACCAGTTTTCGTTTTGATCGGTTTTTGTCTGAGGCCGGTTTTCGTTTAATTGATCTTTCTATTGGACCGGTTATTGCTTTAGAACGGTTAACTGTAGACGGTCAAGCGGTGAAAAACCGTAACCGCTGCACCCCTATTCACAGACCACACTCTCAACATTTGTTTTTTCTTTAGGTGTCATTTTACCTTCATTTGATTCATTCAATGATGGAGGAGATAGTAAGTAAAGATTTCCCTGAACCAATAAACTAATAAAAAAATATAAATTTTCATTTAGCGTTTGAATTAACTGGTTTGGGTCGAGGTGGTATGCAATTACAAAAATTAAGACGTAATTACGGTGAAGCATTGAAAACTCTAATTGATTTGGCTACACTTCAAACATCATTTCGTATACTTGATGATGTTATTAAAATAACAAATCGTCGTGTAAATGCTATTGAACATGGTTTGTTTAATTAAAATAATTTAATTCTAATATTTATTTTATTATTTGATTTTTAGTTATTATTCCAAAAATAACGCGAACGATAACTTATATTGTTTCGGAGCTTGATGAAATGGAACGAGAAGAATTTTATCGGTAGGAAATAATTATTAAATTTATTTTTTACGTAAACCTTTTGTTTGTTTTTTTAGTCTTAAAAAAGTTCAAGAAAAGAAAAAACAAATTCGTGTTCTTCGAGAAAAAGCACGAGCCGAGTTAATTGAACAGGGTCTTTTGGATGAAGCAGAAGAAGAAGCACCCAATATTTTAGATGACGCACAGAGAGATGATGATATACTCTTTTAAAATCTTCTTAATAATTGTCATTCCATTAACCCTTTACTTATTTCAAATGATTCTATTTATTTTAAACATTGTCTGTATGTGATAAACTGCAATTATTATCCTTTTCTTTTTTTTTTACATGTAATTTTTCCTTTGTCTATTTAATATGTATGTTGGACAAAATAGAGATATTTATGCTTCGAAGTACTTAAAAGAAAACAGAAATAGATTTTATTGGAGTGAATTCATTATAATATATATGTATGTTTATAGATGCCAGCTCCAATGTTTTTACGGGGTGCTGCCCCATGGCGTAACACGCTTTCATATCTTGAATCAGGTGCGATTATATTTCGTCCAATAGTACGAATATTTACTCTTAATTATACATTTGATAAACCGGATTCTGATGGTTTACGTCGTTTTATATTTTGGCATTTAGCACAAATTCAATATAAAAATCCAACAGTTCAATGTGTTCAATTTAAAAATACAACACCAACACCATTTGTTTCATTTTATTTATCTCGTTCATCTTTGGATAATGAAACAACTACTTCAGATAATAATTATGAAATTGTTCATATGGATTGTTATAAAAAGACATCGAATGAAATTCATGATTCTATTCGACGTGTTATGGGAAAAAGTGATTTACAACAACGTATTGATTCGGAATTAACAGCACGATTAGAAAATCCAGCAAATTTTGGAAAAGATTGTGCACATTATTGTATGTGTTTAGTTTATGGACAAATGTCATGTTCAGGAAAGAAGAAATTACCAGAACATTTACGTGGAAAATATACACGATATAAAATGGATGAACTTGAAGATTTAAGAAAGAAAGTTGCTGATGATGATGCTTTAAAAGACTATTGGAAAAGGCCGTTTTAGAATAATAAAAATAAACATAGGATATTTCTATAAAGATGTTATGAAATTTAGTATTTATTACGAATTCATCAGAAAAGAACTCAGTATGATTACATCTCTTGTGTTGAAATGGAAAAGGTGTCTGATTCACTAAAAATCATATTGCATTATAATGTCAACTGTCATAATTGAAACACTTACTATCATACAAAGAAAGTCATCATCAGTTAGTATGAGTGCTAGATATTAGTTATTTTCAAACAATACTTTTTGCAATGTTTTTTTTTTTTGTATCTTATTGAATAGACATCACAAATGGGTACGTCATGTACGTCTATTATAATTTTATATGCTAATTAAAAACTTTTTCACATTAAATAGTTTAGATCGAAGAAGATAAAATAGCAAAATAAATAATTAGAATTTTATCAAAATTCAATATAACAAGTAGAAATCTTCGTTCAATTCATAGTAAATTGTTCGAAGTGACTATCGCTGTATAGTAAACAATTTTTTTAAACATTCCGGTATTAATCATACTAAAAAAACATGTTTTACTGTATCCCTAGCTCGTCATACTTCTTATTTTTGCTTTGAAAACAGAATAGTAATTAACTATCGTAATGTCAAAAAACCTGACATGTGTATCAATCAAAACCCACAGATAAATTACGATAAATTTATCGAATAAATGTAACTGACTGCACAGGTAAATCATGAGAAAAATATTTCGTATACAAGAATTTTCCAGTCATAGTATTTACTTTCAGGTTTACATGTATAGCTTAATATGATTGTTTTATTCTTCGAAGAAAACAAATATTTATAAAAAATGCTCGCATAAACATAAAATCAAATATCATTATATAAATTTTAAAAATCAATTAGAATCGTGACGTATCTTCAGTATCAACTGACAGTGCTCGTCCTTTACGTGTTCCTTTCAATAGTAATGTTGTTTGTCTTGGTTTGAAGGATTTTTCCCAGACACGTTCATATTTCGTTTCAATTCCACTAGTATCTTTTATGTCATTAAGAGATAAATATGCATGAAACGTTGAAGTATTTTGTTTATCTTCTTGAGAATGTTTTGATAAATTATCTTGATCTTTTGTCTCATTATTATTATTATCAGTATTACATATTTCAGTTGTAAATCGTCGTGCACTACCGATTCGTTGTTTACGAATCATTGTATTTCTTGATTTATTCACTGGAGTTGATAATAATCGTAATTTATATCTTTCTGTTTTCATTGCATGAAGAAGTATTTTTGAACATTCACTACCTGGTACAGATAAATCAATAGCTTGATGCCCATTACAATCATATTTCCCTATATTTGCTTCATTATCTAAAAGTATACGACATGTATTTGTCATATCATTTTTAACTGCAATTATTAATGGTGTACGACGTTGCCAATTTTGTGCATTTATATCATATCCTTTTTTAATTAACTTTTCCAATAAAGATATTTGTTTATCATTTTCTTTTGTATAACAAAACCAATGTAACAAAGTATTTTTATCTACAGTAACTATTGAAGAATCTAATGCACCCGCATTTGCTAATAAATCAAACATTTCTTCATCACCATTTGCTATTGCATAATGAATACTAAATTAAATGTATATTTAAATTTATTAAAAAAAAGAATATTTTTTTCGAATACATACGATCGAACTTCGGATTGTCTATCCGTAAAATTCACATCTGCTTTTCTTTCAAGTAATAATTTTACAAATGGCATATTTTTTTTTCTTACAGCTATCATTAAAGGTGTTTCTTTACCAGGATGTTCTTTATCATTTTCATTTTGATATACACATGGTATTGGTTTGTCTACAAAAGCTCCATAATCTAATAGTATTTTAGCCATTTCAAGTGTTTTTTGTGCTTTATGTGAATTATAATCATCATAGGATTTTGACGCTAATAAACTAAGTGGTGTTCTTGAATCAACTGTATTTGTTTTATCAGGTTCAGCACCATGATCAAGTAATAAACGAACAATTAATGGTGATGCATGATCAACAGCTAATAAGAGTGCTGTATTACCTTCATGATCAATATCTTTATGGAGAAAATCACGTTCAAAGTCCAAAATACGACAAATTTTATCGGTATTTTCTTCTAAAATAGCCGAACGAAATACCGATAAATTTGTTTTGAACAAATATGATAAAATTAATTTTGACATGTTGTTTTGAGTATTTATAAAATACAAGTAATTAGTAACATAAAATAAAATATATATATTGCGATAGGCAAGCAAATATACAGCAATACCTTTTTTTTCTTCCGTTTATTTTTGTTTATCATTGTTATTATATAGACGTAAACAAAATAAGATATGATAAAGTGCATGTAATCGATTTATATACTTGCTCTAGGTAAAACGAGTAAGGTAAATAATATTTCAAATGCGTTTTTATTCCGAAATACGTAGAATTTAAAATATATATATATTTACTACATTTATAATTGTTTATTAGTGATATTAAAATTTCAGCATCAATTAATATTAGGTTATATGCAGATATTACGCAAAAAAGTTTTGTATCATGTATATTTTTTTCTATATTCATACGTTCTATTGTATCTATAGCACGTGAGAATATAAAGTATTTATGATGATGCATTTAGTTTTGAAAAGCATTGACATCATTAAATACGCTCTATATCTTCTTGGCCATTTATTACCATCGAATAACAAACATTGATTTTTTTTACATATATACGTCATTCTACTTTACATATAAAATGACAGTAGATCATCGAACTTATTTGATAATAAACCTATCAGGTTTTATAATTCAATCGCGATCAAACCGTGTGGAATTTATATGGAAAAGACTGATTAGTAAATTAGAAAATCTTTCAAATGAAACAATCGCTACTATTTTAGCATAGATAAATCCTACAATGTTGAATTTCTTTTTCAAAGATACATCGAAAAGTTCTCGCCGAGTTCCTAGAATAATTTATAGGACTAAAACTGAAATTGTTCGAAATGATGATACTTTGACGGTTTTTTAGGGTGAGTGAGTGTGTCCGCGTGTTACATCTCTTAACGATAGTTGTTTATTATGCTATGACACAATAAAACTATACGAACATTATATGAAAGAATAGTCATGCATTTTTTTTCTCTCTAACCAACGCCCACATAGATAAATCATCGTATTACAATGAATAACCTATGAATCTGTTTGTTCTTTCGAAAGAAAAGGTGTACATATAACAATTGCTTGAAAAAAAACTTTTATTAGTGCAGTGTAGTAAGAAATTAAATACAGAAGCAAATATTTCACAATAAAACGCAGTTTCTAATAAGAAACAAGATCGTTATCAATAAGGAACTTAGTCACAATGACGAAAATGAATTGCTAGATAAGTATTTCGACCGAACATTGTCAATTACAACGATAGCTATACGAATGTTTAACAGAATTAAAAGAGTGTCATAATGATTCATCGGACTTTCAGATTTGGAACATTTAAATGTGAAAGAAATAACGATATATCTTTCACAAAACCGTAGCAATGTTATTGCGTAGACGAAACAGTAATTTTTTTATTGAGAAAGCACGCTGCTACGACATCTATTTATCTTTGTCAATAAGATCAAAATTTCACTGTTATTCAATTTCTTGCGTCTACTGATATCGAATGACTCACGACTTTATGATAAGAAAAGAAGAAAAAAAAGACTATTGGCATCATCGTGTTTCACGAATGATTCACGAGTTTTCTTTTTTTTAGTATAAAACATTTCACATCAGATAATTGATATTCATTTGACGATTGGAACCGACTCGTTGTTTCTTTTTTTTGTCAATACAGAATTAGATTTAACACGTAGGATGCTGACTACAACAACTATAACTCCCATAGATGCACCAATAACTACTACTATTATAAACAATACCTTGTATCCATCTCATCTGCATCATGCACTCATCATTGATCGAGATTCGAGAGGACAAGCAAATCCAGATACTGATGATTCAACTTTTCTAAATCATTTACGTAATCTTGCAACACAACCGATCGATATGGTTCAATTTCTTGGTGACACACCTTCATTGGCAATTTGGGAGGCACTACAAGATCTGAAGAATGTTTCTCATCTCGAAATGCTCAGTGGATACGATGAATATTGCAATATTACACCTTTAGACCAAGTTGGTTCATCCTGGCCTTTACAGTCTTTAGTAATCGGAAGTGCAGCTGGTGAATCTATCAATACAGTTCACTTACAGACCATCACTTCTTTAAAACTTGATTACTGCTGTGGTTTGTCCTTCGATTTATGTACTCGCGATAGTCCAAGTAAACTAAAACAACTTACTATTATTGAAAACGATGCTTGCGATCATTTTATCAAATTTCAAGAAAAAACTTCTCTGCTGAATCATGTCACAGAATTAGAAATCCAAAGTACGAATGGTTGTGATTTTTCTTATCAATACGATGAAAAATGTTTTGGCAAAGCATTGATTCAATGTCATTCGATTAAATCTCTCGATCTAACTATGAGTGACTCGTCTGACGATGACTCCAAGGAAACTTATTTAATAGAACTACCTGTCTCTTTCCCACCCAATGTGGAAGTTTTACGTTTTCGAGGACCACCAACTTTAGCAAATCATCTGACTGTCTGGTATAAGTGCATATCAGATCCAAAATGGTTACCAAATCTCAAATCGATTAAATTTTGCTTAGATGTTTGTCATCGAGATAAAGAAATTCCATCAGATGTAGCGAAACTTGCACATGAACAATCTACACAATTTTTGAAAGATTTAAAATCATTTCGACCTTCAGTTACTATCTTGGACGAAGAAGCAGCTCCTGTTTCAACTACATAGGTGGACATATAGACAATTATTCCAGTTTTATATTAATAAAAATTTGTTCTATGTTTGATTATCCTCATAATAAATTAGAATACTTATTTATGTTCTCATGTGCTATAATCACTGTAATTTCAAAATAAATTGAATAAAATCTCTGGCCGTTAATATCGCGATTAATTTATTATTTGATCATATAGGTCGTATTTTTCAAAAATTATTTATATATTTAACTAGAAATAATAGAAAAATATTACAATGTTTATTGATTCAAATTACGGTCTATCAAGCCAATTACTAACATAATCAATAAATGTTGGTCGTAATGCAGCCATTTCACTAGTTTGACGATAGTTATTCATCATTTCATAAATATCAGCAACAGTTTTTTTCTGGTGTTCTAGCGTTTGTAATAAATTTTTCAATCTCATGGCTAAATCTTCTTCATGATAAGCTGAATAATCTAATCTTTTGAAATCATCCCCAAGTATCATAGCTGCACATACTTGTTGTAAAAATTTAAATATTAAATCACCGCCAAATACTCCACATCCCCAATTACCAGTTACAATTATTTCATCTTTTGATTTCTTAAACGTTGCCCATGCTTTACCTAGATCTCGATCAATTTTTTCTCGTGTAAATTGTCCAGAAAAAACAGCATCCATAACAAGAATATCTTGAATATGATTTGAATTTGATTGTTCATAATGACCTTTATAACGAAATGTATCAGCATAACCTGTATAATCAACGAATCGTTTACATCCACGAAGAATAACAATTTCATCATCTTCTAACGTTTCACAAACAAGAATTGATAAAAATGCTTCTGGACAACAACTAACTAAAAAATATAAGAAATAACAAAATAAAATAAATGAAAATAAATTTATTTACATAGAACTTCTTCTTGTGTTGCTGATGGAATAATTCTATGTATATGAATATGTTTATTAGCAAAATCAACAAAACCTTGTGCTTCATTTGCATCTTCCATTCGATCAGTAAATATATTAATTTTCGATGATTGAATAAGAATATTTTGTTTATTCCAATCTGGTAATTCAGTACCATAACAATATCGTTCAATTGATATTTGTCGATTATCATCGCCGTGATGTAATGATGATAAACGAAAATATTCTATTAAACATCGTATTCTTGCAATAGCTAATTTTTCATCATATGTATTATATAAATGATTTAAATCAATATTTCCATATCCTTGTATTGTATTAAGAAAAAAAGCATTTGCAAGAATATAACGTGCTTGTGATGGTGTATAAGTAACTGTTGCTGTTGTATTTGCTTTAAGTGGTTGAACAGGGTTAGCTTGTGTATGATCAGAAGCCCATTGAGCTATTGTTGGAAGAAGATCATTGTAGAAATCAAAATCTAATTGAAGAATAGCTTGTTCAAGACGTGGAAATTTTCTGTGTTCTTTTCCGCCAATGAAAATCAGATTAATCAATGATTGAAAATTATTATTTTCTTTTGATACGGTGAATACACGTTGTGAATCAGCAATATAGGTTGTAGTTGTCGACATGTTTTATTCTAGAAAAAAAAACGTAAAATTGATGATCATAGAAAACTTCCAAGGTTATAAATATAGCTAGTAGACGATGGCAGTTTTACACGTATCAACTGTCGTCAATATGTATGTACACATCATCAGTATTTACTGAATGAGTCATTTACTTATAAAAAATGTTTTTTCCTTTCTCTTCCTTTTGAAATTACACAAGATGACTAAGAGTGTAATAACAGGAGAAAGTAAATGGTTAAAAAAGTATTGTTGGTTATAATCATCAGTTAAATGAATATGACAAATAAAAAATTGTCATGTCTCATATAAAAAACATAGAATTTAACCTATAAGAATATCGAATTTATTAATACATGTATGAATTTATAAAAAATTAGTAGTAGTAAATGTCACTCAATTAGAGTTTACTGAAGAATTTGAACAATTCACAAAAGAATCTCTTTTTTTTAATTATTTCTCTTTCATATGTTTGGGATCTAATTCTTCAACGTCTCCATCTGAATATCGATATCTTTTAGGGAAGATCAACAATATTTAACGTTTACTCGTTATTTTGTTACCAGTTATGATTGTTTAAAAATAATTAAATTTTCTCGTTTAGTTTATGAAGATCTTTTAATATTAGTCCCGTTTATCATTTCGAAGATAATATCAACAGCATTTTTTAGAGATGAATGATGGATTAATAGATATATATTAAATAAAGATCTTGCAAGACTAATCCCTTTGTTTTTGTATATAATAGATTAATAGATAATGATAGTAACTTTTAAGATGTGTAACAATTGATTCTATTCACACCTACATCTGTCTAAGTAGAAAAATTATATGAATGCTTCAGGCAGACAAGATGAATTAAGAAATACGATTGCTATCTAATTAACGTTTATGATATGATATATAAACATTTTCTCTTTAAAACAGAAGTTGCTTAATTGTTATCAAACATCAAAACACATAAATTTTCTCCACTTAAGATAAATTCAACAAACAATTTTTTATCTATGATTTCAAAATAACACTCGAAATTCCATCACCGAATCGTATTTATACAAATTAAGCATCACATCACAGTGATATTATTGATTTGTTTCTAGGACTAGTAACTATTTATTTTCTACAAGCATTTTTTTACAATATAACAAGTTAGAATTGTAAACTATATGATTTTTAATCCAAGTATCTTGTAATCCAAACCATAATAATAAACAACACGGCTACCACGCATAAAAACACGCCAAGAAAATTCAGCAACTGATTAACACGTTTCATAAGTGATTTAATTTCTTTGAGTCCTTTAAAAAAAAGTAAATAATAGATTATACATATTAAATTTCGTTACATACTTTCAGAAATTCTTATGAGACGTTGTTTTTGTTCTGCTGTGAGTACTTGTTGATCAAGATTAACAATAGTATCATTTTTATTATTGTTAGACATTTCTTCGAATGATTTAGTATAGAATAAAGAAGAATTAATTACTTTTTTAAATCATATTTTCATATAATTCGATTCTACTAAAGTAAAATCTTCTAAATTGTGTAATGATCTGTAAGATATAGATGTGTTTATTTACGGTAGTCGTATATTAAATAGCATTACAAATTAAATGAGAGTGAGATACTTTTAGAAAATATTTCTGATACAAGAAAGGCTCATGCAGAAGAACAATAATACAAATGAATACTTACATTAAGAATGCTGTGCAATTGAATTACACGTGAAATATTGATGAATTTATAGTATTGAATGAACGAACGAATGAATGAACGTATTATCTTATCTGATGATATAAAACATAATGACCAATACTGATCAATATGAACATATCTAATAAAGTGACATCTTGTCTAAATAAAAGAGTTAGAAAAAATAACTGAGATGATTTTTTCTAATTTTTAAGAATGACTTCGACATATAGAATAATGCATTATTGTATAATTACTTCAACAAAATGAATTGATTGCTATCAGAAAAATACGTATATGTATCCACATTTCGCCAACCAGGTTCACAAATCCGATAACGGATCCGATAGGATCTTATGGAATCCGATCACCCTACGCAGTTCTATAGGATTCTTGGTAACAGATTTGTGGTGGATTCCGTCGGAAAAACATCAGTCAATTTCTGCAAATTTTTATGTGCGTTCTTTTTAGCCATATTGTATTATGGCCTTGGAGATCTATCGGATTCTATAAAATCCGATATTTAGATCCGACGAGATTTCGAAACGACGGAATTCGAAGTGAATGCGTCATTCAAAATCCTATAGGATTTTGCCGGACTATCAGATTCTGATAGAATCCCGCATCGGGTCATACATCGGATTGGTCGGCCTGGGTGGATAGTTTCACAAACGCTACCCCAATTGAATTCTTTTGATCAAAATAAATTAGTAAAAAGAATGAGATGTCTCCTTAGCTCCTCTCATATACATATGTTTTATGGAGACTATCAACAATCCTGTCATTGAACTTTTAATAGCACAGTTATAATTTGATATCATTTTCGATGTTCATAGTTTACATCTACAACATGAGTTTCTAGGAACAATTACTGTGTCTGAACAGACGTATGTATATGATACAATCTTTAGTCAGTTTGAACAAGATTTTCTTTTTGATATGTCACGTATTTCTGGTGATTTGCAAACTTATCATATATCAATATTAAACTTTTGGAACAAAGGTGTACTATCTGCTCTTCGGCGTAGGTGTGATCTTTTGTATCAACTGCTACTCACCCATACCTACATTCACAAGAGAGCCTGTCCAAATCCAGAGAAGATAGAGACATGATGAAGACTTTTTCTGTCGATTTCATTTATTTTTTTACATTTATTAATGACGAATGCACTTTTTTCCAAGTTTATCTTTGTTATCTATATAATGGTTACATATAGACTTTCAGTAGACAGAATACAGGAAGAAAAATGATAAAAGCTAGTTTAAACATTTTTTTAAAAATTTCATGTCTACTAATTCACGGTGACGAATTATATTATCAACTTGTGTAATTTAGTCAATATTTATCATTATAAATACTTTTTTTTTCTTGAGATTCTCCAATAATGAACATGAATCTACATGTTTTTTCTCCATCAAAGAAGATAAAACGCTAATTGTTTGTGAACTTTCTGCATGTTTGTCAGACATATAACAATATCTCACCTGTTTACTTTTTTCGTCCTTCATTTGTTGTTTTTCATAGCAATAAGATAAACAGGTAAAGATAAAACTTTTTTGCAAGAAAGTAGACAACTATAAAAAGAATCATTTTTGATCATAAGTTCACTAGTAAATTTTACACACTGACTCTAATTCAAACCATTCACGTAGTCAATAATGGGTAACTGCCAATCAATAAAAAACGCAACTGTAGTTCCAAAAAGATGCAGAAGGTCGTCGACGCATCAATATCCAGCAGATGCAAAATGTTCTTTTAATCTGGTTAGACAGTAACATTGACGAAACAAATGACGATTGTCAAAATACAATCACAAAACTAAGACTTGTTGTTAACGATACCAATACATTTATAGATGTTGATCAATGCTTTGAGTTCATTAAAACAGTCGTCGACAAAAGGGCATGTATGATCATATCGGGATTACTTGGGCAACATTTTGTGCCTTTTGTACACAATATGTCTCAAGTTGATTCAATTTTTATTTCTTGTGACAATCGAAAACATCATGAGCAATGGACCAAAGAATGGCCCAAAATAAAAAGTGTCTTCACCGATATTACACCTATCTGTGAAGCACTCAAGGAACTTGCGCATCAATGTGAGCAAAATGCCATTCCCATGAGTTTCGTGGGATCAAATAAAAAGTTGGATCAATTAGATCCTTCTTTTATGTACACCCAAATCATCAAAGAAATATTATTAACCATTGACTTCGACCAAAATCACCTTCACGATTATATTAATTACTGTTGTGATATTTTTCCAGATAACAAAAAACAAATAGAAAGTATTAAACGATTAGAAGATGAATACCACAACAAAACACTCATCTATTGGTACACCTGTGACATGTTCTTGTATCCCATGCTCAATCGTGCATTACGATTGATGGATAGTGATAACATCACACGGATGGGCTTCTTCATTGGTGATCTCCATCGACAAATTGAACAGCTGCACCAGGAACAATATACTGGTACAACTGCTGAAGACACCTTCACCGTTTATCGAGGTCAAGGTTTATCCACAGGAGATTTTGAACAAATGATGGAAACCAAAGATGGTCTTATTTCGTTCAATAACTTCTTGTCTACCAGTAAAGATCGTGACGTTTCCTATGCTTTTGCTGCAAGCAATCAGGCCAATCCAGATTTATTTGGAATACTCTTCGTTATCAAAGTGCATCCATCGCCATCAACATCACCATTTGCTTCTATTGCTGGTATTAGTAAGTTCAAAGATGAAGAGGAAGTCTTATTATCCATGCATAGCGTTTTTCGTATACAGAATATGAAACAGATGGGTGAAAATACTCATTTATATGAAGCCAACTTGGTACTGACGGCCGACAACGATCCAGAATAAGCAGACTTACTGATTATATTCGAAAAGAGAGTTTCCCAAACAGTGAAGGATGGTACAGATTGGGATCAGTATTAATTAAAATGGGTCAATTAGATAATGCTGAAGATATTTATCGACTTTTACTTGATCAGAAAATAGATGATAAAAACAAGCCACCTATTTATGCTCAACTTGGTTTTATAAAGAGAGATCAAGGAAAATACCAAGAAGCGCTTGCACTCTGCGAAAAATCAATTGCTATCTATCAAAAAAATCTTCCTCCCAATCATCGCGATTTTGCTTATTCGTACGGGAGCATTGGTTTGGTGCATTACAACATGGGTAATTCTCCAAAAGCACTTTCATCTCTCGAAAAAACCCTTGAAATTCAACAACAATCACTTCCTTCCAATCATCCTAGTATAGCTTATTCCTACGGAAACATTGGTTTAGTGCATTGTAACATGAGTAATTATCCAAAAGCACTTTCATCTCTCGAAAAAACCCTTGAAATTCAACAACAATCACTTTCTCCCAGTCATCCTGATTTGGCTAGGTCCTACAACAACATTGGTGAAGTGCATAGAAACATGGGTAATTATCCAAAAGCACTTTCATTTCATGAAAAAGCCCTTGAGATTCAACAACAATCACTTCCTCCCAATCATCCTGATTTGGCTAGGTCCTACAACAACATTGGTGAAGTGCATAGAAACATGGGTAATTCTCCAAAAGCACTTTCATCTCAGGAAAAAGCTCTTGAAATTCAACAACAATCACTTCCTTCCAATCATCCTAGTATAGCTTATTCTTACGGAAACATTGGTTTGGTGTATAAAAACATGGGTAATTATTCGAAAGCCCGTACATTTTTTACGCATGCTGTACAAATTGCACAACAATCATTACCTTCACATCACCCAAATCTTGAGAAGTATAGAAATAGCCTCGAACGTGCAAAAAATAAATAATCAATTGTATTGCTATGAACTTTGTGTTTATAAAAAAGAAAAAAAAACTTTTTAAACAAGAAAAAAATTGTTTTAAATCCACGCGCGTATAGAGAAACTCTGATCTTGTGAAGATATAAATGAACGGTAACACTCATCAGTAAAATAAACAACACATATCGATAGGCATGTATTATAGAATAAGACCTGAACGATATATAGCTATTGCGTCTAAATAGGATAGTGTTTCTCTGTGTTGGCTAAGGAAAAAGAACGACCACTCAACAGGCTGTTTAACGTAATGAAGAGAGTGAGAAAAAGAACTGTATTTATTCGGTAAGATGCATTGTTCTTTCTGTTCCAATAAAAAGAAGAATTCATATGTATTGAATAAATAACCAAAAGATAGAAAAATAAATGATTTCTATAGATGTTAACATATTATGGAACAGATTAGTGTGTTAATATGACCAAAAAGCACTTTTTATCGCAATTCAGTTAAATGAAATAAAAAGAGTGTCTATATACTGCCATCAACGAGACGGACAATGAAAAGGTAGCAGTGTGTCGGTGCGTGACGAGTATAATACTTACACCCACGCCTATCTATCCTCAATATGTTGGATGTTGTTGATCGCCATGTTTAGTATCCGATAAATTCCGTTTGTGGCGTCCATGTTGGATTCTGATAGTACGGATCTGGGTGTTTATAATTAGTGAGAGATGGAAAATGATGCATGGTGAAGTCTTTTTTTCGTTCATTTGATGACAAATGCACTTTTTTAAAATACAAATCTCTGTCATCAACAAACATGTTGTTAAATTGTACGATTCATCAAGTATTTGATCATATAAAAAAAACTCTTTTCTCACTTATAATTAATTGATAACAAACATGACACGACACGTTTTTTCCTCCGTAAAAAGAAAGAAAAAAGAAAGAAAATATTTCTTTTTCCCGAAATAGTTCGATGTTCGGCAAGCATATAACAATATTTCATCAATTAATTCTTGTCGTTCTTCATCTGTTGTTTTTTATAGCAACATCAAAAAAAAGTTAAAGAAAAAAACTACGTCTCACAAGAAAGTAGAACCCTATAAAAAGAATCGTTTTTGTTCATTACTTCACTAGTAAATTTTACTCAGTAACTTCAGTTCAAACTATTCACGCAGTCAATAATGGGCAACGGACAATCAACAACAAATGCATCTATAGTTTTAAAAAGTGCAGAAAGTCGTCGACGTATCAATATCCAACAGACACAAAATGTTCTTCTAATCTGGTTAGACAGTAACATTGACGAAACAAATCATGATTGTCAAAATACAATCACAAAACTACGACGGGCCGTCAACAATATTAATACATTTACAGACGGCGACCAATGTCTCGAATTTATCCAAACCATCACCGATAGCAAAGTATGCATGATTATATCCGGATCACTTGGACAACAGATTGTGCCTCGTGTGCACAATATGTCCCAAGTTGATTCTATATTTATTTTTTGTGGAAATAAAAAACATCATGAACAATGGGTAAAAGATTGGTCCAAAATAAAGGGTGTCTTCACAGATATTACACCCATTTGTGAAGCACTCAAGCAAGCTGCTCATCAATGTGAGCAAAATGCCATTCCCATGAGTTTCGTGGGATCAAATAAAAAGTTGGATCAATTAGATCCTTCTTTTATGTATACTCAGATCCTCAAAGAAATTATATTAACCATCAAATTCAACCAAAAGCACATCCAAGATTATCTTAATTACTGTCGCGATGCTTTTGGCGACAATAAAGAAGAAATGGTTAATATTAAACGATTAGAAGATGAATATCACAAGAAAACACCAATTTATTGGTATACTTGTCAAATGTTCTTGTTTCCCATGCTCAATCGTGCATTACGAATGATGGATGGTGATATCATTACACATATGGGCTTCTTCATTGGTGATCTCCATCAACAAATTGAACAACTACACAAGAAACAATATGCCGATTCGACTGTTGCAGACACATTTACCGTTTATCGCGGTCAAGGTTTTTCTACAGGGGATTTCGAACAAATGATGAAAACCAAAGGTGGTCTTATTTCATTCAATAATTTTTTATCTACTAGTAAAGTTCGCAATATATCACTTAATTTTGCTCATACTGCCATAATAAATCCAGATCAAGTGGGTGTCCTGTTTATCATGACAATTAATCCTACTCAATTAACAACACCATTTGCTTCAATTTCAGGTGTTAGTGACTTCCAAGAAGAAGATGAAGTCTTGTTTTCGATGCATAGCGTGTTCCGTATTCAGGATATTATACAGATGGCAGGAAAAAATCGTTTATATGAAGTTAATTTGATACTGACTGCTGACAACGATCCAGAATTGAACAGACTTACTGATTACATTCGAGAGGAGAGTTTTCCAGATGAAGAAGGATGGTACAGATTGGGTTTGGTGCTATTTGAGATGGGTCAATTTGACAAAGCTGAAGATATTTATCAAGTTTTACTTGATCAAAGAAATGATGATAAAGATAGGGCACTTATTTACCATCGACTTGGTATGCTCAAAAGAAATCAAGGAAAATATCAAGAGGCACTTACACTCTATGAAAAATCACTTGCTATCAAACAAAACACTCTTCCTCCCAATCATCCTGATTTGGCTAAGTCCTACAATAACATTGGTTTGGTGCATTCTAACATCGGTAATTATCCAAAAGCACTTTCTTATTATGAGAAAACTCTTGAGATTGATCAACAATCACTTCCTCTTAATCATCCTGATTTGGCTTCTTCCTATAACAACATTGGTTTGGTGCATGACAGCATGGGTAATTATCAGAAAGCACTTTCATCTCATGAAGAAGCCCTTAAAATTCGACAACAATCACTTCCTCCCAATCATCCTAATATGGCTTCTTCCTACAATAACATTGGTACCGTGCATGCCAAAATGGGTAATTATCTAAAAGCACTTTCTTATCTTGACAAAACCCTTGAAATTCGACAACAATCACTTCCACCCAATCATCCCGATTTAGCTAAGTCATACATTTCCATTGGTGCAGTGCATTACGATACGGATAATTATCCGAAAGCACTTTCTTATTATGAAAAAGCTCTTGAAATTCAACAACAATCACTTTCTCCCAACCATCCTGATTTGAATATGTCCTACAGCAATATTGGTTTGGTGTATGAAAATATGGGTGATTACTCGAAAGCTCGTATATTTTATGAACATGCTATACAAATTGCACAACAATCATTACCTTCAAACCAGCTTCATCTTCAAGATTATAGAAATAGCCTCGAACGTGTAAAAAATAAATAATAAATTGTATTGCTATGAATTTTGTTTTTATGAAAGAGAAAAAATGAACCTTTTAAACGAGATAAGAATTGTTTTAAATGCGCGCGCGTACAGAAAAACTCTGATGTTGTTGAGACACAAGTGGGTCGTAACACCCATCGGTAAGGTAAACAATACATATTAATATACATGTATTATATATAAAGATCTGAACGATCTATAATTATTGTGTTTGAGAAAGGTAGAGTATTTCTGTGTTAGGTCAGAAAAAAAAGGGGCATTCAACAGGTTATTTAAAGTAACGAAAAAAGAGAAAAAAACTGTGTTTATTCAGCAGGATGAATTAGGGTGCGGGCGTGGACTTGGTAGTTTGGGCTAAATTCATCCCACACCCACACCACTAAGGTGAATGTGGGTATTATCTTCTTCATAGACCACACCCACACCCACACCCACACCCGACAAAAATAGTTTTACTAAAAAAAAAATTTAAAAAATTAATTATATAAAGAGAAGAATATAGATGACAGTTATAGGAATCCTGTCAACTACAAGTGACGGATATTTACTGAATAAGACATTCAATAGTAAAAAGAACGTTTTTCTTACTTTGTTCTGAAATTATATATAGTAATGACGATAAAAAATTTGTTTGCATATATATTGTTGACTACCGTCTAATGTTTTATTCAAATTTTTTGTATTCTCTCTGTACAATCTAGTGTGTCTTTAAGAGTGTATGTTAAAAATTTGACCACTTGAATATTTTATTCAACTGAAATATTGAGCTGTAAATCTCCTGATCCCATTTGTATATAAATCGAGCATAATAACTACATATTTTATGATTTATTATTCATTTGAATAAGTTTTGTAAGTTGATACGACAAATGTTCTCTAGAGAGTTTTGATCTTTTCTTTTGAATAAGAGCTTTATCAACATATTTATGCAGATTTGAAGAGAAAAGTGGTCGTCGATAACGATGAATTGAAGTAAAAACTCCTGGTGTTAAATTAATAAGATGATTATTAAAGGATGTAAAAGTTGGAATATGATGTGTTTGATCAAAATTATTTGATAAAGGAAGATATTTAAGGAGATTTGATTCTGCAAGAGGAAAAATAACACCCGATGAACGATACTTTTCTAAAGTTTCGATGACAATATCTAAATTAGTACTAAATTCTTTAAATAAAATCAAAAAAAGGTTTTTTTAATATACTGATAGCTGCACTGAGACACATAGGAATAACTTTTTCTAATGCTGTATTCGTCATATCTAATGTAGGTCCACTATTAATTTCAAGTAACCAACAATTAAGTTTATCATCAATTAAAATATCAACACCATAAAAACCAAAACATCCTTCACGTATAACTAGTTTATTTCTAATTGAATGAGCAACTTGATTAAGAATTTTTGTAATTCTTTCAGGTAATTCATTAATTACCCAATCTTTATTGATATGAGACATATCTGGTTGAATAAATTCATTAAAATATTCATTAAATTCTTCCATTGTCATTCCGGTATGATTGTTCATGGAAGAAAAATCTTGATTTTTTCTTTGAATACTTTGATTTGTTAAATGAATAAATTTATTAAAATTATCTAAATCATATTCATACATTGATAAACGAAGATAACCAGTTTGACAAGCAAAACATAAAATATCATTTGATAAACAAATACATAAAAAATATGTTCGAATATCAAATTTATGTTTATTAATAAGTAAAGGTTTTTCAATATATTTTTGAACAAGCCGATTATAATATATTGTTGAATAAGACGAGAGATTTTTATGATATTCATTAAGAATATTTTCAAGTTGATTTTCATCACGAAATATAAATATTTCTCTTCCACATGAAAGTCCAACTGGTTTACAAATCCATATTGAATTATTTTCAAAAGCTTCTTTAAAGTTAATCCGATCAGTTATATTATCTAATAAATATGTTTCAGGTAGAAATCTATTCAATGGAAGATAATCATCAAGTTTTCGAATGTGTCTATCATAATTTCTTAAATTATTTACTAATAAACCTTTATTCGATAAATGCTTTTCATTATAAATATGATTTAAAATTTGAAAATTTGAATCAAATGTTGACCAATCGATATCAATACTTCGCGTTATCCAATTGAATTTAACACCACCGATAGGTAAATTCTCATATCGATTAAACGCAAATGCATTTAATTGATTACAAACAAGTTGAGAATTATTTTTTCCAGATACATAATAACCATTTATTTTACTATTGACATGTAAATCAATATTTACTTTTCTTGACATAGTTTTTATCGTCATTAATTTCAATATGAGAAAAAAAATCGAGAAGAGAAAAAATAAATGAGAAATACTATTCTTAGATACTGTGATGTATTTTTAAAAATATAAAAATTCGTAATAGATCTTATTTTATATGATTTACTCATCAATCGGACATTATTAAAACTAGTTCAACATCACAGAATCAGTATAGATGTTTTAATAGTTTTGTGACATGATATGTAGATATTTATAGTATTAAAAATTCATTATTGATTTAGAACGTTTGAATAAAGTCTTTGGATATGAATTCGAACGAATATTTGGCATTGATGATGTTGAATATATATCATTGAAATCATTATCGATTTCCTGTCTAATCGCTATACTTTGACGTACATAAAAAATAATTAAAATAATTGTCAAAGAGATAATAGTAATAATAGGTATAACTGTAATAATATGCTCATTTGGCATTGGTATAATAACATGTTCAACTTGTTTTTCTGTTATCATGATTAACAAGTAAGATATACATAAGCTGTTTGAATATGAAAGGATGAAAAAACAAGTATTGCTAAAGATTACAAAACACAAAAGAGAATATATGAAAAGAAATAAAATACTATAGAATAGATTTGGTACGTAAGCTGCCTTATAGCAAAATAACTTAATTATTAACGGGCGCGCAAGAATTCAATGAAAAAAATTAATCTCATATCATTGGTTTAAATTTTTTTAAATAAATAAATAGCTCGTATATATTTATTTTTAACTACATTGTGGACTGGATTGAAATTGCAGTTTTTCTTATATATTTTTCTAAATTAAATATACTTAGACTTGTTAGAAATCATCAGTTTCCTGTCGACAATTATTTTCTGAATTGCAATATTAACTTTTGATGAGCTGACATGCAAAACAATGTGTTAAATCATTTTTCTTTTCTTTTGTCATATTCACTCTATTCAAATCTTTCATCGTATGTTATATATCAAGTACATTCATCCCCTTCCTTTTTTGTTATAATTATTCTTTCTAGTCTTCCTAGACTATTATTCTCAAAAAAAAAATTTTCCTATAGAATTTCATTGGTAAATAAATGAAATTTAATTATTAATGAATGATATTACATCTAGCAGGGTCAAGTCATTAGTTTTATAATTCTTTTTTGTTCTGTGAGCAATTTTTAAAAGTTTCATAGACGTCACTCTAAAATATTTTAT